AAAGTGATCTTTGTATTTTGGTCAGTGAGTGAGTGAGTGAGAGTGATCTTTGTATTTTGGTCAGTGAGGGAGTGAGTGAGAGTGATCTTTGTAGTTTGGTGAGTGAGTGAAAGTGATCTTTGTATTTTGGTCAGTGAGTGAGTGAGTGAGAGTGATCTTTGTATTTTGGTCAGTGAGTGAGTGAGTGAGAGTGATCTTTGTATTTTGGTGAGTAATTGAGTGAGAATGATCTTCGTATTTCGGTGAGTGAGTGAGTGAGTGATCTTTTGTATTTTTGGTGAGTGAGTGGTGAGTGAGTGAGTAGAGTGAGATCTTTGTATTTTGAGTGATCAAAGTGAGTGAGAATGATTTGCATTTCGGTGAGTGAGTGAGTGAGAGTGATTTTTGTATTTTGGTGAGTGAGTGAGTTAAATGATTGTAACTGGGGATTTGATTAAAGTGAGTTAGTGAGTAAGACTGATCTTTGTATTTTGGTGAGTGAGCGAGCAAAGTGAGAGAGAGAGAGAGAGATTTGCATTTTGGTAAGTAGAGGAGTAGAGATGTTTGTATTTTCGGTGTGGCGTTAGAGTGAGTGAGTAAGACTGATCTTTGTATTTTGGTGAGTGGGCGAGCAATTGAGAGACAGAGAGAGATCTTTGCATTTTGGTGAGTGAGTGAGTTGTATTTTGTCGGTGTGGCGTTAAAGTGAGTGAGTGAAAGTGATCTTTGTATTTTGGTGAGTGAGGCGAGTGAGCGAGTAAGTGAGAGACTGAGAGAGATATTTGCATTTTGGTGAGTGAGTGAGTTGTATTTTGTGGGTGTCGCGTTAGAGTGAGTAAGTGAGAGTGATCTTTGTATTTTGGTGAGTGAGGCGAGTGAGAGACTGAGGGAGATCTCTGCATTTTGGTGAGTGATCAAGTGAGTGACCGAGAGAGATCTTTGCATTTTGGTGAGTGAAGCGGTAGAGTGAGTTAGTCAGTCAGTCAGTCAGTCAGTCAGTCAGTACGTGAGTGAATGAATGAGAGAGAGAGTATTTTGGTGAGTGAGTGAGTGATGCGAGTAAGTAAGTGAGTGAGTTAGAGTGATATTTGTAGTTTGGTGAATGAGTGAGTGAAAGTTATCTTTGTATTTTGGTGAGTCAGTCAGTCAGTCAGCGAGTAAATGAGATGATACGCGTCAGTGAGAAACTATTTTTTCAATACCCCTGACATATTAATTGTCTTTATATTACACTCACAGTGTTTGGCATGCTGAGCGAATTCTGACATCACTAGACTACCTAGTCACTCCAAATACGGACCACGCCGCGGTGACAGTCACCCCAGCTGAGGTCTGGATTTATCACAAATTGTCTTGACATTCAAAACGCGAAAGTAGATTTTGACTGCTGTTGTAGAATCTCATAAAATGTATTTTCTGACAACTCTAAAATACAGTTATCATTTAAATGTTTCGGATGAAGTTTATAACATTACCAGATGGACCGAATGTCGACAGTTTTTCATTCGACAAACACACTTTTTATCGGTCACTAATTTGTAGATTTTCGACGTCAGGATGCACCACGTGACACGTCAGATATGACATAGGAGCCTAACGCAGGGTATTAATGTTGTCAGACCTGGACCATTATGCTAGTGTCCGCGACACCAAACTTATCCTCTGTGGCAGTTCGAACTGTCTAAACTGTCCAACTAGAAACTAGTTTTATTTTATGACAAGAAATAGTTTTAAACTTGATTTAATGCGCACAATTCAACATGGTGACCTTTGTGGACTTTGGTTAGAATTGGTCTTCAGGAAGAAATGCTTACCATAAGGGCCGGGTACCCTGACAGGGTGGTCAGACTCGCGGACATTGTTGTGCATGGCATCATATCTCTAATGATGTCAATCACTGGATTGTCTGGTCCAGAGTCGAGCATGTATCTGGGTTTTTTTGCAGAGCAGCGTTAATTTTTTGCAGAGCAGCGTTAAACAACAAACAGACAAAATAAACATCAACAACGCAACCCAGAATGTCTTGTATGGTTTGGACGGAGCCATATTTGTTTTGTCTTATTTATCTTGTTCTATAACACGTTACTGGCGACCAATGACGAGGTAGAACATGTGCTTCCAGGACTGTGAAGTAAATCCTTCAAACTTTGTTTGTCAACAACGACAGTAGTACGTCGGCCCCATATACTAAAATGTCCTTTGAGTGAGTGAGTTCAGTTTTACGCCGATTTTAGCAATATTCCAGCAATATCACGGGGAGGAACACCATAAATGGGCTTCCCATATAGTACCCATGTGGGGAATCGAACCCGGGTCTTCGGCGTGACAAGCGAACGCCTTAACCACTAGGTTAACCCACCACCCCAAATGTTCTCTGAAACATGTGCATCTGTAACATGTGTCATAGTAACATCTATGCTATCGATGTATACCATACATATCTTAACGGCGTTAACAGTATAAGTTATCACATCGTGTCGAGGGAAATTTAAATACGGGGTTTTATCAGTCCCCTTACTCGGGACTGATAAAACCCCGATGATGTGATAACGCATTTATCTAGCCGAATGTTTTACTAAATCAAAGAAAACAATACGCATCGAATCGACTTGTTTTTATTTATGTGAGATGCCATGTTGACAACAGCTGATCGATTGACCTCAATGCAGCGCACGTTACTAAAGGCTTGGCGATGCACGCTTTTCTCACTTCGCGTGGTCACCGAGGCGTGGCGGGATAATATGACTTTTGTACTCCTGCTCGCGGATCGTGACGGGTGTACATGGTATTTTATCAGAGTCTTACGCTGGAACCAATCAAAACTCGACATTCTTACATGAGGCTGGATAATAACTGGTTGTTGTTATCGTCTCGGGCGGTGGGTAGCCTAGTGGTTAAAGCGTTGGCTCGTCACGCCGAAGACCCGGGTTCGAATCCCCACATGGGCACAATGTGTGAAGCCCATTTCTGGTGTCCACCGCCGTGATGTTGCTGGAATATTGCTAAAAGCGGCGTAAAAGCAAACTCAGTCAGTCAGTGTTATCGTCTCAGTTGGTTAATTCTTTCAATATACACCTACCCTCGCTCGCCTGATTGTAGTGAGTGAGTGAGTTTAGTTTTACGTCGCACTCAGCAGTATTCCAGCTATATGGCGGCGGTCTGTAAATAATCCAGTGATCAAGAGCATGAGCATCGATCTAAGCAACTGCGATACGATGACATGTGTCAACCAAGACAGCGAGCCTGACCACCCGATCCCGTTAGTCGCCTTTTACGACAAGCATGGGTTACTGAAGATCAATTCTAACCGGATCTTCACGGGTGCTCTCTCGCCCGATTGTAGATATACTCGAGTATAGTCACATAGAGGTCATCATGTATTTGACATGGAAACTTCACACAGAGAGTTCAACAGTATTTGACGTGGAACATCGACTAGGTTACTTACAGACCACCGCCATATACGTGGAATATTGCTGAGAGCGGCGTTAAACAACAAACAAATAAAGACATATTAAGCGTTCAATATTCACATGGTGTAGTATATAGCCGTAATTAACGTGGAATATTGACACGAAAGTGTTAAAAAATATTCAACATGGAATGGTGACACATTTATGTTCAACGGTATTTATAGTGAAGTATTCAGAAATAGCTATTTAACATTGTATAACTGCACATAGTTGCTTTATGCATATAACATTGACATTCTCACAGAACTGTTCGACAGTGGAATATTCTCACATAGATCAGCAGTGTATAAAGTGGAATATAAACAGCGCTGTTCAACAGTATTTGACGAGGAATATAGACATAGTGCTGGTCAACAGTATATAACGTGGAATGTCTTCACAGTACTGTTCAATAGTATATAACCTGGAATATTCTCACAGTACTGTTCAATAGTATATAACGTGGAATATTCTCACTGTACTGTTCAATAGTATATAACGTGGAATATTCTCACTGTACTGTTCAATAGTATATAACGTGGAATATTCTCACTGTACTGTTCAATAGTATATAACGTGGAATATTCTCACTGTACTGTTCAATAGTATATAACCTGGAATATTCTCACTGTACTGTTCAATAGTATATAACGTGGAATATTCTCACTGTACTGTTCAATAGTATATAACGTGGAATATTCTCACTGTACTGTTCAATAGAATTTAACGTGGAATATTCTCACTGTACTGTTCAACAATATATAACGTGGAATATTCTCACTGTACTGTTCAACAGTATATAACGTGGACTATTCTCACTGTACTGTTCAATATAACGTGGTTGTACAATAGTACTGTTCAACAATATATAACGTGGAATATTCTCACTGTACTGTTCAACAGTATATAACGTGGACTATTCTCACTGTACTGTTCAACAATATATAACGTGGAATATTCTCACAGCGCTATTCACAATATTTGACGTGGAATATTGGCCCAGAATTGGTAAACACAATTAAACAAGTCATGTTCAGTGGTGTACAGCCTCGTGCTGTCGTAATCGGATTTCCGCCAATCAATAGCATGTCCCCGACTAACGAAGGACTTCAACTCTGTGCAGGGGACCGCCTCCGTGGTGTAGTGGTTAGAGCGTCCGCCCGGAGAGCGGAAGGTCGCGGGTTCGATCCCCGACCGCGTCATACCAAAAGGCGTTAAAATATGGTACTTGTTGGTCCCTGCCTGGCGCTCGGCATTAATGGGTACAACAAGGACTGGTCGGCTCGAGTCAGTATAATGTGTCTGAGTGGGGTATTCATGTTTCACTGCGGCATGGTATCTCAGTGGGCTAGCACTATAAAACCAGCTTCAGTCTGGGCTAGTACAAGCAGTCGCACATACACATACACACGCATGCACGTCGTCATATGAGCGAAATATTCTCAAGCACGACGTTAAACCCAATTTCACCTCACCTCACCTGTGCAGGGCAATAATTGAGGTGCCTTGTCTATGCATTCGATATGTGTACCACTCTCGTTTTCATTCAATGCATTCTCTTGTTTGCAGATTTGTTTGGGGCATACTCTTGTCAACATGGCTCCACGGGATCTATACTGTGATTTACTAGACGTTGCACCAACTCTCGTGTAGTCTCGTCTCAAGCCACGTTATGGCGTCAACCACCGATTCCATACTCCCTGACGTCACCAGCCTCTACGTCCTCAACAATGTGTCCGTCATTACGTTGCCGCCGTGCGACTGGCCAGATGAGTTAGACGAAGGTAAGGCTCAGTCTTGATTGAGATTTAACGTAAACTCACTCTGCGGAGCGGGAGATTGGATACCCTAGTGGTTAAAGCGTTCGCTCGTCACGCCGAAGACCCAGGTTCAAATCCCACATGGTACAATGCGTGAAGGCCGTTTCTGGTGTCCCCGCCGTGATATTGCTGGGATACTGCTAAACCGCTATTCACTCACTCACTCTGCAGGGATAGGGTTTATGCCCATGTATTGTCCTTCGTGTTGTACTGCCCGGTAATGATCCGGGTTAGAACTGGTCTTTTTTGTATTGTTGTTCAAGGTACCAAACTAGTTTTACTTTAGAGGAGACTAACGGGATCGGGTGGTCAGGCTCTCTGACCTTGTTGGCACGTGGTTGATCCCATTTACGTAGATCGATGCTCGTGCCTTCGATGACGGACACCCGATCCCGTTAGTCGCCCCTACGACAAGCATGGGTTGCTGAAGGCCAATTCTAACCCCGATCTTCAGGGGTTTGGTCCCATGTGTTATCCAGCGTTATGCGCCACATCTACATCTGTAGATCTTGTACTGAAGATGAAATCCTCTTCGATACTCACGCTGTTTTCCATCACATCGTTCATTCTTCCTTGTTCATGGCCAATGGGGATGTAATGCTTTCCAATGTAATTGTCAGTAGAGGACCTACCTTGTATATATTCAAGATGAAATGAGAACACCTCGCTCTGTTTGTCCCTACTCAAGACCCATAAGTATCTAATCCTGTCAATTGTAATTGTCAGTTGAGGACCTATTTTTGTATATTCTGGAGATGAAATGATGTGTTTGAGCAAATCTCCGCTTTCGTCCAATTAGTAAAATGCTTTAAAGAATAATTGTCAGCGACGACTTCTTGGATAATTTGAATATAAAATCCACTTCATGCATTGTTGAAACAACCTTATGATTTAGGAAAAATTCTCCAAAAACCTGGTCAGAACGCACCCAACATTATTTCCAGGTCTTTGTAGACATTTAATACTTGAGAATATGAAGACATGGAACTTTTATGGATAACATTTATTTATATAATAAAAAGAATTTGTAATCAAAAGTTTCACGTCTTCATTCCTTAGTTTAGTTTTATATGCTGATGTCTACAAGAAATTGAAAACTGTTCCAAAATATTGCTCTCTGTGTTTCCCTTGATCTGTTAAGAAACTATTCATCACAACATAGTCCACCATTTTGACAGACTGTTAGAATCTCTTGAGTGACCAATTCCACATTGACGCCCTTTTACGAGAAGCAGGGGATATGTTGAATCAGTTTCCTACCAGTGGAATTGAATCTGGTGAATGTGTCCCAGATTGTATCGGCAACGTATTGAGAAATGAAACACATTAAGTTCATCTTTCCATAAAATTGGTTCTGAAGCTACATGTATCTGTCTCAACTAATACCGTTGTTGCGGTCGATTAAAAATGGCGTGGCTGGTGGTTTATGAAACATTATATAGCGTGATGCATCACATGTGTCAATGTTTGAATACGTGCTTATATCGGCATAAGTGCAGAATTCTGGAAAAACAGACCCCAAATGTGATTTCATCTCCTCTTTTATATTCTTCATATCCATTCCCATTTTTTCGTTTCGGATACTCCTGGATCGTCGTTCTAATTTGGTTGTCTCAATCCGTCTCTTTTCTGATTCCCTTTTTTGACACAGCCAATTACGGATTCATTTCGTCTGCCCTAACACTATCTTCTCCAGTGTTAAAATTATTTTCATTTATTTTTTATTAAAATAATCTGATTACATTCATCCGAGATGGATTTGAAAGAGTATAAGGGATATCGATTGTATACAAAAAAAACAGCAAACTCTATGTTTTCAAGTTTATTGCCCGGCAAATATATTCTACATTATCTCCAATCTAGAAATACCTACACAGATCTCAGAGAAAACTGGTCCAACTGCCCATGCGTCTCCAGTTAATGTTGATTTTGCCATAACAGATCTGTATCTTAACGCCTCATGAATATTAATGTCGGAAACGGATTCCGGAAATTTACGGAAATCGACGATGTGTTCTGACTGCCTTGTTAAGAACAAAACAAATACCTCACGCGTTGTTATCATTGTGAAGCTTCCAACACGTCCTTGGTCCATCTGGGTTCTCGCATTGGAATTGAATGCTCATAAGTGGTTTTCAGGTGAATGTTGTGTTTCGTGCAAAGAAATGTGCTTTATTCGTTTTGGGATACAAACAGTCCAACAGTCAACCTCTGAGCGAGTGAGTGAGTGAGTCAACCTCTGAGTGAGTGAGTGGCAGCTTGTAGTGACAAATAATCGAAACTTAAATTTACAGCAGGTCATAGGTACCCATACTCATTTGAGTGAGTGAGTGAGTGAGTTTAGTTTTACGCCGCACTCAGCAGTATTCCAGCTATATGGCGGCGGTCTGAAAATAATCGAGTCTGGACCAGACAATCCAGTGACCAACAGCACATACTCATTTGAAACCACTGTCCCGATGCCAAATCTACCTAACACGGGCCTTCGTTTTGTGCCTATTTCGAACACTGGTAGCGCTAGCCTAGTGGGTTAATGTCTTTCGTTCCGCTGCAGACTGGGGTTCGATCATGTCTGTTTATGACTTGTATGGTTTTTGACCAAGGAAACGTTGTTAAAGCTCTCATAACACTCGCAGTGTAAATTGTGCCCATGTTATTGTAGTTAAAAATTAAACGGTAAATATATGTAAAAATCGGAATATGTGATTCCCATTTTAAATGCATTTTGGGACACTTGGTGTCATCATTAATTTTCAGCTGATTTTCACCGCAATTTTCCCGTTTACACTCAGTAGATTCCTTTTCGAGGGATAATCGAGACCTATTTTCTTCAGCGCTGACGTGTCATGTGTGTGAAACATTCAAAAATTATGTAAAACTCTATTTTCGCACCTCCTCCACGCAAACAGGGGTTCATCGTCCGGCAAATTGGCCCATTATTACAAGCAAGGGAAGCATAAACGCTTGGGCTCTTTAATCTGTGTTGAGAGGCCCGACAAGTGTATCAATGTGACGGATGAAACTATCTAGAGGATGCCCAGTGGTCAAGCATGATGTGAGAGTTTGCCCGGTGGTCAAGTGTGATGTATATCCGTCAAATCAACATCTCTCTCACAATCTATCACGCGTCAGTTCTTAACAATAACCTGATCGATTATCCCTCAATTATCTCCCCATTATCCCGTTATGGAAGCCCATTGAGCCTACTTAACCCCCGATAGGTGGCGTTTAGGCTTCGCGGAACACTGATATTATTCATGTACCAGATTATGGGGAAGGGATAAGACGATTAAATTAGATAACGCGAACAGCTAACGGTCTTCGTTTAAGTCGAGCGTAAACTGAAACAATCACCGCGCGCAGTTTGTGGTTGTAACCGTCGGGCACATTTTCCCCTAGCTCCCTTCGATATGATTTGATTTCAGCACGGTTTGATGGCGTTATTTGATGGTGGTTTACTTGGGTCAAGAGTCTATTTGACTTAAGGAAATAACTACCCTTCTCAATTATTCACATCAATAGACATGATATTACAGTTAGGTTTATACGTGACTCGTCAAAGTGGATATGTTATTCAATTATTTTTTTTTAAATCATGAAACATTTACTTCTCACATTTTATAGACACATAACCTATATCATGTCTGATAGTGGCAGAAACTGGAATGAACATGAATTCTAAGATGCTTCGGTGAAAGATCAAAGGCGCCGACAGTACTTTATGAGACGATAATGTGCACTTTTTGCATTACGTCACAATGTAATGCCATTCTAGTCTGCCCCCTCGTAATCGAACAAATTTGCATTACGTCACAATGTAAGCGACGTCACGATGCCTGTCAGTTGCCATCGCCTCGTACAGCCTCCTACAGTAAACTACTCCGATGCATCCCGTTTCTTGGTTTGTAGTTGCTTCACGCAGCTAACGTCACTGGTGGAAACATTACGTTTGTGTTTTCCGACGTTTAAAATGTCTCAATTCGACTCATAGGTTTTCAGCGACACGGTAACGTTCGCAATGTTTATATTCCCACAATGCAATCGTGGAATGTCGCTTGACTACTCAGCTTTATCTGAATGTACTGATCTAAACTTACGTTGGTAGTAGAAATGCGACGTTCATATTGCCCCATATGGTTTACGTTAATCACAGATGTAATTAAAATAATTTAGAGACGATATTTAATCCGAACGTAAACCGTCATCAAACTGTTATCATTTGTATTTTCTGGTAACGTTCGTCTTAACGTAGGGGACAGACACATCAATAGAACAGCGCGCCAGTTAGCCCTGTGCGAGGATTCTTAATTTAGGTCACAGACACCGTCGTTTGTTTTCTGCCTTGAATGAATCGTAATTATCCTTAGAAAGTATTAAATTTGGCATCTTAGAAAAGAAATACAGTTCGCTCTACCACCATGTATAGTGTAATAAAGCACACTTTCGCCCTGAACTATTATAACAAGCGTCCTCGTGCTTTAATTATAATAGTTCAGGGCGAAAGTGTGCTTTATTACACTATACATGGTGGTAGGGCGAACTGTATTTTTAAATAGTTACTCGATGATAGTGTATTTGATACATATGTCATACTTGTGTCTTTGGCCTGAATGGGGCGGCGGGGTAGCCTAGTGGTTAAAACGTTCGCTCGTCAAGCCGAAGACCCGGGTTGAGAGGCCCGAGAAGTGTATCTATGTGACGGATGAAAGCCGCTTTCACTGTGATAAAGAAATTGTTCATCAATATATTGCTATCCTTCCTTATTATATATACTCAACCAAAAAAGTTAAGGTCCACCCCAATATTCAATATTTAAGTATTACATGGATCATAATATGAACTATTAAATACTTTAATAGTGAAAATTGGGGTGTTCCTTAAGTTCTTTTGTTGAGTATAGTTATCGGACTTCCATTTGTATGAAAGCTAAGGTGGCTGAGTAGGTCGCTGACTTTGCATGCCGC